TTGCATTTTATTATACCTAGGGGTGTTTTTTTTTCATGTTTGTCATTAATTAGTAGTGGTGATCTCATATGAAGACTGTGAAATCTGAAATTCTGATTTTAAAAGGAATCTGCATTAATTTCACAAAACTTTAGCATTGGAGGAAGCTGGGCAAAATGTACAAGAGATCTTTCTGTACCATTTCTGCATGTGAAATTACAGTTACCAATAAAAATTTCAACCAGAGGAGAAGGAGAATTAAGAATAAAAATTTCAGTCAAAAATAAAAAGGATTCTGTATGCATTAAAACATTAGTTTCTTAACCAGACTGAGATACTTATTGAGATTTTAAAGGCCAGCCACCATGCCAGACTCTGCAGTATACAAAGGTAAACATGGGTCTTTGGCCCCAAAGAGCTTATAGTCTATCAGGGAGAGAATCAGCAGGTATGCAGATAACTAGGCTGCAAAGTAGATTGAAACATGAATTAGAAATAGAGGGACTGGCACAGTGCTGGGGGACCTAGGATGATCAGTGCCATCTGAAGAGAAAGCAGCTTTACAGAGGAGTGGTGTTTGAGCTGGTCCTTGAGGGGTGACTAAAGTTTCAGTAGATGATGTTGAGGGTATACCAGGAACAATATTAGGAAAGACGCACTGAGCTGTGACTGAGCCTCTCAGGAACAAGGTCTGTGTCTTACTTGGCATTATACCCCCAACACTTAATATGAGGCCTACTTGAATAAATATGTAATCAATGGTAGGATTCGCTTTTATCCAGAAATGGCAGTTTAATCATATTGAGATTCAGTTAACATTGTTTTCCTATCATGCTAGGGGCTATGCCCAAAACTTTCATTTCCATTATCACATTAAACCCACTCTTAGGTTATACAACCTATAGATGGGTGTTCATAGAAGCTTTATTTGCAGTAGCCCAAAACTGGAAAGCTAGGTGTTTCCTAACCTGGCCATTGACAGGTGAATGGTTAAACAGTTTGGAATATCTCTATAGTGGAATGTTACTAAGCTGTACATAGGAATGAATTCCAAGGGCATCTGCGTAGTAAAAAAGTCAGTCTCAAAAGTTTATATACTGTATGATTTCATTTAGAAAACATTCTCAAAACGACAAAATTGTAGAAATAGAAGTGATTGTCAGGGATTAGCAAAGGGGTTGGAGGGTGGAAGTGGTGTGACTACCTAGAGAGCAGCACAGAAGCAGTTTCTTTGTAGTGATGGAACACTTCTGTATCCTGACAGTGATGATGCAGATCTGTACCTGACATAAAATTATATAGAACCACCCATGTGTGAATGCACACATGCCTGAGAGCATGTAAAAACTGAAATCTGAATAGGGGCTAGGGACTGTACCAATGTCAGTTTCCTGGTTTTGAGAGTGTATTTATAGTTACATAGCATCCCACCATTAGGGAAGCTTGGTGAAGGATAGACAGGACCTCACTGTTACTTTTTGTAACTCTCTGTGAGTCTATAGCTATTTCAGGTAAAATATTAAAAACAAAACCCATGGTAGAGGGCCCGTGGAGGAGTATAATAAAATTAACTTTCCTGCCTCATTTATTTACTTTGAAATAGAACCAGATCAGGAGAAAAAAATCGTTGAGGTTTTCTTAAAGCTCCATTTTCTATAAAATTGCCTTTTATTTCTGTGTAGAAGTTGTGTTCCTTCCTATTTTGTTGTGGGCATGTTTTGTAGCTCTAATTATCGTGCCACTTTTGTCTTCCCTTTCATCGAGATAAGAAGCCTTGTTTGGAGATTCCTAGGGAATCAGGATGGGGGCAGTATATCTTGTTTTGAGTACCTGTCTTATAATGGCCCTATGGTAGTCATTGTGGCTTTACCAGACTTAATTTTTTATAAATTGATTTCCTTTTTAAGTATCATTATTTTATTCTTTTAAAAGACTAATAGATAGTATATGAAAGTTTCTTTCCCTTCACAGTAGGCACTTTGTCCACACTGTTTAAAGAATGCTCAGTTTTGTTGTACTACTTAACTGTCTTTGCACAAGGTTTTACATTCAGATCAAAATGGTTATTTGGTTTATGGGACATGAATTTTTGAAAGTGGAAGAGCCAGGAACTGTAATTTCACGTGAAAAAAAGTTAATGGCTGAAGTGCCTTTTAGTTGAAAATCTGTTCCCAAAGTGTTCATATCTAGATTACCATATGTGTTTGGAAGGGGGAAGAAGGGAGGGATTTTACCAGTTGGCATCAAATAAGCTCGTAAATGTACAAAGACAGTTTATCCATAACCCCCCCTCCCCACCCCAGATAAAGGCCAAAGCACTTTGCTGTTTCCCACAGATACATATTTTTTTCTGACAACTTTACAGAGCTGCCTTTAACTTTGGCGTAACTTCACTTGTATGAGTGGTTCCAAGGTAGATATAGGTAGGTGGGTGATACTTTGTCTTGGATTTGAACTTAAGCATCAGTGTCCCCACCCCTTACTCCCAGCTGCCCCTTGTGGATACACATAGATATTTCTTAACAGTTACTATTAACTGTAAACTCAGTCCTGTCTAGGGATAGTGTGGGGTAGGATAGTATTTGTCTGAAGATCATAGTTTGGGCTTCTACCTAAAATCTACAGTCCACCTACCACTGACTGACCTTCGGCAAGTCCCTTTGCCTTATTTGAGCTTTAATTTCCTTACTGGTAGCCTAAAGGAGTTGAACCTAGTGGCTTTCAAACTTTTAGAGGACCTCAGAACTGTTTGAAAATCTGATGGAAGCCATGAACCTTCTCCTCCAGGTAATGCCCACAATTACAGTATTTTTGTGCTTAATTTCAAGGTATTTACAGATCCCCTGGAGCTTGTCCATGAACCCTTAGAAATCTTACTCAGATATATCATAATCTTTGGAGTAGGCTAGGTGTCACCAAAGTCTGTATGTCCTGCGGGCCACATTCAGTCCACAGCCTGCTTTTGACTGGCTTGTGAATGAGGGATTGTTTTTAGATTTTTAAAGGGTTGTTAAAAACAACCACAACAAAAAACCAGCAAAGAACCTGTAACAAAGACCATATGAGGCTCACAAAACTGAAGAATATACTATTTGTTCTTTACAGAAAGTTTGTCAACCCCTGGCCTAGATCATTGCCAAGATCTTTGTACTAATGACTTCATGAAACTGTAGTCCTGTTTAGTGGATAATTGCTAGTACTTGGCTTTCTTTTTAGGCCCAGTTATTTTTTTCTATCAAGAGTTTTGGATTTCAGAATTTGCATGATTAAATGATTGCTTTTGTTATAAGGTGTCTTTCTTTTGATCACAAATTAGGTAATAATTCTCATAGGAAATAAAGCAGATTTGGAGGCACAGAGAGATGTTACATATGAAGAAGCCAAACAGTTTGCTGAAGAAAACGGTGAGTTTCTTTTAAGACTTAATGGTCACAATTGGGAGAATTTTTAAGGAAAGGGGGGATTTTGATACTGCAGATTGACAGTTTTTTTTTTTAAATGCAGACTGCTCAGAAATCTCAAGAATGAGGAAGTAACAAAATGTGGTTTTGTTTCTGTGAGATTTATGTTGGAGCAGTACAGTTATTTAGTGACAAAAACAAAGATGCTCTCCACTTCACACTTACATACTTTTTCATAAAATACTATGGGAGGAGTACTGAAAACTAAGGGAAAACTTTTTCAGATGTCACTGAAGAAATGCACTTGTGAGTTAGTTTGAAATGTCCTAATTCGAGTCTGAATTTTATTTTTAGGCTTATTGTTCCTCGAAGCAAGTGCAAAAACGTAAGTAAGACCAAAATATAGATCATGTTTCAATTACATTCAAGCTTCTCAAAGAACTCTATATATGAAATGTATATAATGTATATACACATATAAAGTACTGTATATAAATGTGTAATGCTTACATCTCTTTGCTTCCTTTTTTACAAAATAATATGAATTTTTGTTACTTAAAGACTGTACCTTGATCATGCCGTTGGTAACTCAGGTTAATAAATGAAACTTTGTTTACATTTCAAAAGTGTTTGACCTTTCACAAGTGAGGTTGAGTTTGGCATCTCAGACATAAGCTTGGTCAACCTGTTCTTCCTCTAATCTGATCACACTGAAAAGCGTGATTTAAGGGGATAGTGTCTACTCAGGAGCATAGTGAACATTTCGTAATTGTTCTTCCATGTCTGCTGTTGAACTCTGGTACTCCCATCATTGTTCTTCATTTATTAGGCCAAAGATTTCTTGTGACGAGAGGCCACCCTGTTTTTGTTTAGTCTCAGCTGTGCTGTTAGTTCAAAGAAAACCAAAAGGAGATGTTAACGGTGGCTAAGCATGATTATGTCACTATCACACGATTAAAAACAGCTCAGTTCATGCTTGGCTGATCAGACCATATTATTCTTGGAATTCTTTTCAGCATGTTTGGAGAGAGTTCATTTCTGTCTAGAGGAGAAATGGCTTATCTCAATTGTCATGGTGTCTATTAACATATAGTATTTTAATGATTGTATGTAACACGTGCAGTTGTCCAAATAGGGTTTGTAGAAAGGGCTTTAAGCGCCATATATGTATGTATGCCTTCCATAGCAAATAGTTTTCTATGTTGTTGTCTTAGCTCAGAGTTCTGGTCATCTTTTATTAGATGGCAGTGGTTAAATTGAAGATATTAGCAAAAGGTCAGGGTATAATGTCTTGTCTTTGGTAGAAAACTGTGGTTCTTGAATAAAGTTATCAATTGCCTCTTAGGGGAGAGAACGTAGAAGATGCCTTCCTTGAGGCTGCCAAGAAAATCTACCAGAACATTCAGGATGGAAGCCTGGATCTGAATGCTGCTGAGTCTGGTGTACAACACAAACCTTCAGCTCCACAGGGAGGCCGGCTAACCAGTGAACCCCAACCCCAGAGAGAAGGCTGTGGCTGCTAGTGACCTCTTTGCCATGGCCCCTCATTTGACCTTTCACCTCTGTCTGTTGGAAGCAGTGCTTTTTACTGCCTCATTGTCTTCTGTACATCCTACTGGGTTTAATTAAAAAAGAAAAAGAAACAAAACTCTGTTGTAAAAACAGTTTAACACAATACTAAACTGCTAAACAACTAGATGTAATCAGGTTATCAAAGGCAAGTAGAGTAATAAATCTCTCCTGCATGGTAAATCTAGACTTTTTTTCCCCTTTGTCCTCGTGATAGGTATGTCACCAATATATGATTTAAACTGAGCACTGATGCTGGACTTCATGATTTTTACCCTCCGTCTTTGGCAAGGCTTTGTATCACTATACGGTTTAATTTGATGATATCTTAAGCCTTTCTTCCCATCCTTAACTGTTCAAGTATGTCTGTTGTAACCAGTAAGTTTATTGCTGTGAAATGACTTCTGATGATAGAGAAGGGGTTCTGTAACTGCTTTTGTTTTGTTTTTGTTGGAGAAATTTCCTGTTGTGTGCGTGGCATTTTTCTTGACGAGGTTTGCTTCTGTCTTAGCCTCGCACAGGGAAAATATCCATTTATCTTCTCTCTCGTGCTTAATTAATAGCTTTATCTTTTTTTTATACCATTTTATCCTTTTCTCTTTAACAGAAAGTAAATATGTATAAAATTTGAAGGAATTGAACTAACAATACATTCTGTGTATATTATTTTAATGAAGAAAATAAATTGATTACTGGCATTGGAACAGTATAAAATACCAGTTTGTACAGTATGACCTATATGTGACCGTGTTATTCCCTTCCATTTCACACAAAGAAATAGACACAACTGCAGTTCACAAATGGTACTGGCTCCACCCCTTGGTGCTGGCAGTGTTTGGGGACATTATGCTGGAAAGAGCTCCTAGCATCAGAGGATTAACACTAGCAGACTCTGTTCCATCTTTGCACTGCTGCTTACCTGCTGATTTTCTTAACTGTTCTTGTGCAATTGACAATGTGCTAACCTGCTTTTCTCTTTTTGTAAACGTTTTTGCATTACAGGCTGCATTCTTGCCTTACTGTATAGAAAAAGAAAAAAGGCTGGGTTTATTATTGCACATTTAAGCTTTTATACCTTTATCTTCTTGGAATGGTCAGATTCTGAACTGGACAGTCAGAACGACAGGTCTGCTGTTAAGGGATTTTAAATTGTGCATTTTTAACACTACAGCAAAATAAGATATCCCTGTGTTCATAGTATGAGGGGCTATTTTATGTTGTGTTGGCATAAATTGTTGTAAAAGGGAAAGTGTTTCTAAAGGTGTTTTAGTGCTTGTGCTGATACAAAGTAAGTTATTACTTTGCACTAGGTGGTTTGGCCACTGAGTTAATACTGAATAGCAAGAGAAACAGTCTTACTTCTTTAGACAACAAACATGTTTTATTAAGTTATTCACTTCTGTTGACCTTTTTTTATTGCGTTTATGATTCAGTGGCTGGGAATTGAGAATTTAAGTAGAATAGGTAACACCTCAGCGTACTATATAGAATGCACTCACTTTAACTGCTGTGTTTAAAATACACATTTTAAATCCCTCTTTACAGACACTAACATAAAAGTACATCTTTCTGGGTTGTAAACGTGGTAGTACCAGAGTATTGTATAGTCAATGTTAAATAAAAGCCAAAACTGGAATGTGCAGAAAATAGGATTTGTTTAATTTGTGGATTCATCTTTATTTTTGTCTTTAACGTTTTTAAAAATAAGATTTCTGGAGTAGATTGGTATGTTCTGTTAAAGACTTAAGTGATCCATTTTGCTTACACTGTTGCATCACAAGAGATTCACCCAGGGACCATGACCTGCTGGTGTGTGTGTGTATTTACAAAAACAAAACAAACAAACCACCCATTGGGATAGAAGGTAGCAATCACAAACTAAAGACTGCGGCTTGTTTAGGTGCAATACCCTGATTTCCAAAGTTAGTTACAGTGGGTTTTATTGTTTTTGTGACCGAAGGATTTATGCAGACTGCTGTACTCTTCATTTGATGTAACAAAATGCTATTAATCTAAATATTTGTAAATAAAGTACCTGTATCTAGATTAAATTAAAATTGGTTGCATTATTTTCTGAACTATAATAGGGTTTATTTTCTTCAGGCAAACAATTATTTGACATGAGTCATCAGTTTTTATTACAGCACTGTCCTTATTCATTGTATAAAGAGGGTCTACATATTAGCGTATAAAACCACATCGCTAATAGAGCCAGTTTTATTCTTGTGTTTGTATCACCGTTGAAATGTTTTCAGTCAGTCTTTTTCAGTGTAAGGTAGCACATTTGTTGGCCAGTAGTTTTCTCCTTTATACAGGGAGCCAGATTCTATCATATGCATGTGTAATCCCCTATAATAAACTCAGGCGCTCACAAGTAAGAGCAAATTGTCATATTGTAACGTGTGTGCCAGACACTGGGCAGTACCCTTTGGAAAGAATGTGAAATCCTTTTAATTTTTAATCCATAGCTTACTGCTTGTGTGGTCACCTGCTTGTTGAGGTTACTGATTGCCCTTGCACCTATGAGGCAGCCCTCAGATTAGTAGCTGGTGCTTAGTACTATTTATGCTTAAATAGATCTTCCAGTACAACGTTCAAGTATTTTTCATGGATAAGTGTTTAATGGAGTAACTTTTTTTTTTAATTTTTTTTTATTTTGGTTGGTGGTGTGTACGTAATAGAGGTAAAACTTCTTTGGAAAGATGTCTTTTGAAACCAGATGTTAAGCTTCATACATTACCTCCCTTCTCAACTTCCTTACGACAATAGTTTTGGGGAACTTTTTTGCCTGTCTGTCCGCTGTTTTAAGTGTGATTTTAAAAAAATAAGATGAGTGGTTCAGTTCATTCCCTTAAACAGAATTAAAGACCAAATAATTACCTTCCATTCCTGTTCATGTGGGAGTATAGAGAGGCTTCATGTGGCATTTTAGAGAAAAGATAATTTATCCTCCTTCAACACAGGCCCAGAAAATTGTGTCCCAGAAGGGTGTCAATAATTGTGACTAGGCCAGGCCTTTAAGCATTTTGTTAAGACTTGAAAGAGTGAAACAAAAAATGTAAATACAAAAGAAATCAAGTTTTGTTTTGGAAGTAGATGTCTTCTACAACTTACTGTGTATTAATAAATTGTATGTCATCTTTCATTGTCTTTATTGTAACACCATTGATCCCATATCTCAACAGTCCACTTCTAGCCAAATAACTGTTTTTGGAATAAAAACCTTGGTGAGGGATTACTGCACTGTGCTGTTCTGTACTCTAGTAACATGGTATAATGCCATTTATGACTCAAAAGCTGTCTAGTGATCTAGAAAAGAGTTCCTGAGAATATTTTAAAACCTAATATATTACATATTTTCCCCTTGGGAATAATTCTGCCAGACTGTGAGAGCAGTTGCTATTCTAGTTTTTAAAGAAATGTATACATCGTGGAGTTGAGCTGTTAATTAATGGTAGTTCAAAATTTTAAAAGGCAACACTGAATTTTTATCACTGGGTCAGATTCTCCAAGGTACAAAGAATATGTTGGCTGAGGAAAGGCATCTGAAGCATAATAGTTTTATAACTGATAAATTTCCAAATGATGAAACCCTTCATTGATAACATTCTTCAACCTCCAGGTAAAATAAATCCAACTGAAAGCTTACTTAATTGGAATTAAGATAAAAATTTGACTGCTTTTCCACAGATAGATTGTGAAGTGTAAAGTCAGATGACAGACCCAAGTTAATTATCTTTTATTTTCATATGAAAAACAGATTTTAAGCAAAATTCAAAAATAACACTATAAAGAGGCCTTATGAACATTCTTTTAACAAGATTTGTTTGTAGGTTCAAATATGCAGTTAAAATCACGGTTTTTAAAAAAACATTGCAAAGATTAAAAAAAAAAAAAGCCACATAGGATGTTGGTTTAAACTGTATGCAACTATTCCCGTATGTACAAGTGATTTACAAAAATAATGGTACAAGCAAAATAAATCTCAGAATCTCACTTCACTGGATCTTGATTTAAAAAACCAAGTGACATTCCAATTATGAAGTCAGTGAGGTAGTGGGAGTGTCTTCCTTGAATATATTTACACAAGACAGTATTCCTCATCTGGCTGAGGTGTTCTTTTCCTACAGTAAGACAAAAAGGAAGGATAAATTCTTGAAACTAAAAACAGTCTTAACTAAGTGATGGCATGATGGCTTATAGGTAAATTATGTATTTGAGAACCTCTTTGGAAAAATGTTTTAAGATGAACCAGTGTACAAAATTCTGGAGAGAGAAAGTTAAATGGTAAAAAAAGAAAAAAATCTGTAACATCTACCCTGTGAGCAGGAATTGCATGTGTCGCTGTCTAGTGGTTCTGATGAACCTGCTGGAAGGAGCTCTGAAAAGAAGGAAGATCACTTCTCAGCCTTTTGGCTAAGATCAAGTATAGTATCTGTTCTTACCAGAAAACAAGGGAAATAAAATGTTATGCTCAGAAGCCAGTCCCCTAACTGGCTTTTAACTTAGTTCAAGCAACCCCAGACTTCTAAATAATTCTACCAATCTCGCCCCTACCCATTGTGTGTGGGTTGCCTTTACAGCACCGAAATAATTCTGTCTGCCACCTTGAGCTGATAATTGAACCTGGCTCTTAAACCCTTGTGCATTCTTCTCTCACTAGTCTGGACTGTCTTCTCTTATCCCCAAAGCTTTCCTATTCAATGTTCAGTGCCTCTCACACTCCTCTCAAACCCTGCCCTGAGGCCCATGATGATTTTGGTCTTTACCTGACTGGGCCCCATCGCAGATGGTGTTAAGATAATCACATTCAGATGGCCCTGCTGCTACAAATTAGCTGTGTGTCCTAGGTAAGTCACTTGCCCACCTTGGGGATATTAAAGAGGCAGCTGTCTTTGTATGCTCGTTGTGACTCCATCATTAAAATACACTGCTCTGTGGTAAAGATAGATTAGCCCATAAGTTCTGCTGTTGTCCTTTGCTATGTCCTTGACCAAATCATTTATCATTTGCAGATTTCTTACCTATATAAAGGGATAATTCCTACACCCAAGGATGTGAAAATTAAATGAGATGGTGTATATAAAGTTTTATATGTACACACAGTGGGCACTCAAAAGTGGAAGCTATTACTACCGCTGACAGTTATGTGTGCTACTAATAACCAGTTCCGTGAGTATATTTCATGTTTCTCTTAAATGCTTATTAACCTTAGGTCTAAGTCTCACACAGAAAACCTTTGTGAAATTCAGGGTTTTTATAGACCCTAGGTTAAGAGGTCTGCATTCCAACTTTTTAAATGTAAGTTACAAAATGCAGGGAGACAGGCAGACTAAACTAGGACTCATTGGCCTCACAGGTCTAAGTTCTTTTATACTGACAGAGTAGGAAATAAGGAAAGTCAGAAGTGAAGAACATGAATAGTAGAATTAACTATATCCCTGCCAGGTCCTATCCAATCTGCAGTTCTAGTCTGTTTGCTAAGCCATCAGCTTATCTACCTCTACGAAGTCGTTGCTAAGAAAAGTTTTCCAGAGAGTTGAAGATGACATAATGTATATCTTTCTGAATCTCCTCCAGATTATACATTCCATGGCTTTTAAGTACTTTATATGTAATATATTAAATCCTTTGTTAAGAGTTTCCTCTTGGCTCAGAGTGGTGGCTCATGCCTATAATCCCAGCACTTTGGGAGGCCGAGGCAAGAGAATCACTTGAGCCCAGGAATTTGAGACCAGCCCTGGCAACATAGCAATTTTAAAAAGTAGCCGAATGTGGTGGTGTGTGACTGTAGTCCCACCTACACGGTAGGCTGAGGTGGGAGAATTGCCTGAACCTAGGAGGTGGAGGCTGCAGTGAGCTCAGATAGTACAACTACACTACAACCTGGGTAATAAGACAAAAACTTGTCAAAAAAAAAAAAAAAAAAAAAACACCCCAAGCTATTGTTTTGTATTCAAAAAGAGCTGCTTCTTACCTGATTTTGTCCAAGTTGAGAGTCCTCCGTGAGGGAAGACTCCAGCTGAGACAGGCTGGGTGACGACGCTGAATCTGCAGAGGTGCTGGTGACCAATTCCCCTAAAGCATCGACTTGTCTCCTCAAACTGTGTAAAGTGCCCTCTGTCTGCCGCTTTCCTTTGATTAATACTTCTGCTTGCTTGGACATACAGTGTCGAAGTTGGGCCTGAGAAGTGTTATGCCAAGACTTAGGGTTTTACACAGAAGAAACCTACCAGAACTACTGCTCAGCTTCCTCACAACATTTGATAGGCAAATCTGGCTAACAGTAGGAATGGCTGTCGAAAATGCTCATCTTTGAAAAGAACTGTAGGAGGTGCCAGGTGGATACTTAGTGTGCATAAACCTTTACTGTTCTGTGTTGTCGTTAACTGGGCCTTTCACTTGGGCCGTTTTTTCTAGCAGTGCTTACAATTCCTGTATCCCTTGCTTCTCCATGAAATTATTGCCTTATCTTTTTTTTCCCTTTTCTATTATACCTGAGAAGATCAGTTTATACTTGACTCCTGCAGTGTCTCCTCATTATGTATTTTTTTCCTAAGGCTTAGTTTCCTGTCTGTAACTCACTAGGTATTTAATCCTCAACTCCATACTACTTTTTGGCTTTTGCCCCTGTTGTAATGAAATGATTCTCTCAAAGTCTACTGGAGTGCTGTCCAACAGAACTTTCTGCAGTGGTGGGAACATTCTATATCTGGCTATCAATATAGAAGCCAGTAGACACATGTGGCTATTGAGCACCTGAAATGTGGCAAATGAAGAACTGAATTTTTAATTATAATTTATTAAAATTTAAATAGCCACACACGGCTGGAGACTTTTTGATCACAGGGCTCCACTCAATACTGCAGCACTGCACTCTCTCATGCCATGCAGTCTACATAGCCACTCCCTCAGAATAAATGTATCCTCCCACCTATACTCTTAACTGTCAAATCTTTAGCTCAACACTGATCAGTAATCCTAGATTCCTATTTTTGGCTGCCTACAGACAGATACCCTTCCCTGGATATCTCACAAGGCTTTCAAAGTCAACATGTTCTAAGCCAAACAATTCTGTAACTGACATTCAGCCTACTTTTCCAGTACTCCAAATCTTTCCTGCCACCGCTGGCCTGTGATAACCTTATAGTTCATCACTGTGTTTCTATCTCCTGTCCCAAATACTTAAGATTCTATCAGTTCTAGCTGAGGTAGAGAACATCACAGAGGTTACAGAACACTGGAGTCAATACAAAAAGTCATGGTTTTGAACACTGCCTGCCATTTACTTTGTGATGCCAACTCCTCTGAGCTTCAGACATGCCATCCCTGACACTGCTGGCAGTGCTGCAATAGCATGGATGGAAAAGCATCAGGTAAATGTAACTCCCCGCTCCCTCCCCGGTGTGCCCAGTATCTCATGCTGATTTTTTGTTTTAAAGGGCAACCTTGAGTCGGTCTTCCTGGTGACGCAGTTTCTCCCGGAGTGCTTCTCCACGCCAGTGCTCATCCTTTCTCAGAGGGAAAATGGAGATATCATGAATCATCAGCTGCTACAAGTGGGAGCCAACCAGCCTTTCCCTCCTCCTACCTCAACACCCCCACATCTGTGTTTTAGCTTAGCTGGGGAAGGCGGTCAATCCTATGAAGTCCAGGAATAGCAGGATAAACCCTTACCATTATGTGAACTTGGGAAAAGTTCAGTTTTTCTTCCAAAGGTCCCTCATTCATGGTAAATGGAAAGTTCTCTTTCAAGCTTTCCAGTTCTCCTAGGTTTTCGTTTCTTTCCAAAATAGCTTCTAGATCTGCTGGTAGTTCTGGAAGAAACTGATTGAGATTCTTCAAGCTAGTTCTGATTTCATCCTTCACCTCAGATTTAAGTGTTCTCATTGCATCACTGATTTCCATTTGTCTTCTCTCCAAATCTTTTTGGTTTGCCATCTAAACAGTGAGTTGGTGTCAATATCATTATATAAAATTTCAGACTTACTTGGAATTGAGCTTTTTGATATGCCATGTATTTAAAGATCTATAAAATATCAACTACCACGATTACTACAACTGTAAAAGCTTGTGATTTTTCAGATACTCAAGAATCTATAAGCTACTAAATAAATTATTTTATTGGCATTATCGCTAGAAAAATTTCTATTTAGAAAAGCATGTACATAAAGTTCCTTGATTGAAGGTGAATTACCCTATAGAAGACAGTCTCTTTGGAGTCAGACAAAGCTAGTTACCAGTCTCATTTCCAGTATTACCAGTATGACTTAGGGCAAGTTGGCTAACATCTGATCCTCCATGACCTCATTTATACATGGATATAAATACCTTCTGCTCAGAAATGTGAAAACTAAGTGACAATTGATAAGAAGCACCTTAGTGGCACCCAACTGGCAATTAGAGTAAGTAAGCTGCAAATGAAAAAGGGCCATTTACTGAAATAAGTCATAAGTGATATGCACTATAAATGCTGGGGTATGGTGACACAATCTTGGCTGACTGCAGTCTCAACCTCCCAGGCTCAAGCAATCCTCCCACCTCAGCCTCCTGAATAGCTGCGACTATAGGTATACCCCACCACAGCTGGCTACTTTTTATATTTTTAGTAGAGACGGGGTCTTGCCACGTTGCCCAGGTTGGTCTGGAACTACTGAGCTCAAGCAATCTACCCAACTCAGACTCCGAAAGTGCTGGGATTACAGGAATGCGCCACTGCATCCAGCCTACAGGTTTCTTAAAGTTTTATCAATTGCACTGATGCCTGAGACTACTTACTCTCTACGGCCTACCCCATATAGGGCTTAGTGAAATAAGAGATTTATACCTACTGCTAACTACCTTACCAAGTTTGCAAAGGCATAATCACTAAGGGCTGGTGGTCTTTAAATAATTTTTTAAGTTATTTTTTTTCCTGAATCAAATGGTGGATATATGTGGGGAATCAGGGGATTGGAAGCACAGATGAAACTGGAATGACCACATGGGATCATCCAAAGGACTAAGTAGAACAGGGCCAACTGAGTGGCCACAGCAGCCTGACTAGAGTTCAGGGAGGGCCCAGATGCTGTAAAGGACATCAGAGACATCAACGATTAGACACTCTACCAGTCCAAGCATGAACTGGTTTCATACTCTCTGCCTGGTTACATTACGTGATATCAAAGGTTTCCCCCTGGACCATTTTTTCTTGCTCAGAGGTTAGGGGAGGTTTTGGCTCCTATAGACTTGTTTATGGCATAAAATCTTAACATTTCAACATAGTTGTTTGGGACATCATAAAATATGATCCTCAAGAATTACCGTTTTTTCCTTGAAAACTTAACATTAAGAGGCCGGGTGCGGTGGCTCAAGCCTGTAATCCCAGCACTTTGGGAGGCCGAGGCGGGTGGATCACGAGGTCAAGAGATCGAGACCATCCTGGTCAACATGGTGAAACCCCGTCTCTACTAAAAAGACAAAACATTAGCTGGGCATGGTGGCGCGTGCCTGTAATCCCAGCTACTGAGGAGGCTGAGGCAGGAGAATTGCCTGAACCCAGGAGGTGGAGGTAGCGGTGAGCCGAGATCGCACCATTGCACTCCAGCCTGGGTAACAAGAGTGAAACTCCGTCTCAAAAAAAGAAAAAGAAAAATTAATATTAAGAGCTTATCAAATTTAAGAGAATTTTGTAAGTATATTTTTAACAAATAGTGGAGGTGCATTTCTAAATTTTAAAGCTAAAAAACCAGATTTGACTTAAAGAACATTCTTATAATCAGCTTTTCACAATTTCCATAAAGAAATACTACTATAGAAGGAATATTAAAAACAATACAGTCTGCCTGAGCCCAGTAAGTCCTCTCCTCTCTCCCCCGTCTGGTCGGCTGGGATTCCTGGGCACACACCTGTTTCTTGAGCTCCGTGTACTCATATTGCATCTGGTTGAGCTCCTTCATCAGGCGCCTGGCCCGCTCATGGTTGTCCTGGGCTACCAGTTCAATTGTTGCCATTTCCTTTTGTATGCAGCTGTTCTCCTGTTTTTGCTCCTAGCACAGGAGGAAGAAAAATAATTCTGTGATCCAACACGTGGAGCTGTGGTCTGCTGGCTGATACACTCACTAGCTCTATAACTTAATTCCCCATCTGGGCCTCAGCTTCTCTAGCTGTCAAATGGGGATAATTGTATCTGCCTTTCATGGGCAGATAAAGTATATCTGGGAGTACATACACATCAGTCTGTTAGCACAAAATCTGATTCCTAGATCTGTAGCATTACGTTTGATAATAAGCTATTATCCCTTTCTGTAAAATGGGAGTAATACCCATCAGATCACCCATCATCACTGGGAGTATTAAATTTTAGACATCTATATTCCATCTTTATCATGATCTTGCCTATCACTAGTACACCTATCAAAGTATATCCTCTTTGAAAGACACACATGGTTTACCAATTCCTTTCTACAACAGGGCTCCACTCACCCCTCCAGAGGGTACTGGAAAAACCCACACCCTTGACAGTTCATTGCTGCTCACCTGCCTCTATCCATCATAAATTATTCTGACCTATCTGAGTGTCACTTCCCAAATTTATTTCAAGGATGAAAGCATGGTAGATTGGGCTTCCTTGTTTTAGGATAATGATTGATTAAAGCTAATGTTGGTCAAAAAGGGCAGGATTAGAAAAATTTGTAAGCACTGACTACGGCAGTGTAAAAAAACTGGCCAGGCGTGGTGGCTCATGCCTGTAATTCCCACACTTTGGGAGGCAGAGGTGGGCCAATCACGAGGTCAGGAGTTTGAGACCAGTCTTGCCAACATGGTGAAACCCTGTCTCTACTAAAAACACAAAAATTAGCCAGGTGTGGTGGTGTGGGCCTGTAATCCCAGCTACTCAAGAGGCTGAGGCAGAAGAATTGCTTGAACCCAGGAGATGGAAGTTGCAGTGAACTGAGATCACGCCACTGCACTCCAGACTGGATGACACAGCAACACTCTGTCTTGAAAAAAATAAAAATAAACTGTTGACCGGGCACGGTGGCTCACACCTGTAATCCCAGCACTTTGGGAGGCCAAGGTGGGTGGATCACAAGGTCAGGAGATCAAGACCAGGCTGGCAAAATGGTGAAACCTCATCTCTACTAAAACAAAAATTAGCTGGGTGTGGTGGCGGGAGCCTGTAGTCCCAGCTGCTCGGGAGGCTGAGGCAGGAGAATTGCTTGAACCCAGGAGGTGGAGGTTGCAGTGAGCCGTGACTGCACCACTGCACTTCAGCCTGGGCGAAAGAGCAAGACTCTGTCTCTAAATAAATAAATAAATAAATGTCTATAGGTGGGGCACAGTGGCTCATACCTGTAATCTCAGCACCTTGGGAGGCTGAGGTGGGTAGAGTACATGAGGTCAGGAGTTTAAGACCAGCCTGGCCAACCTGGTGAAACACATCTCTACTAAAAATACAAACATCAGTCAGGCGTGGTGGCACACACCTGTAGTCCCAGCTACTCAGTTGGCTGAGACATGAGAATCGCTTGAACCCAGGAGGCAGAGGCTGCAGTGAGCCAAGATTGCGCCACTGCACTCTAGCCTGGGAGACAGAGCAAGACCATGTCTCAAAAAACAAAAACAAAAAACCGTCTTGAGAAGGCTTCTTCAACACCCCCTCCACCCCTACCAGTGGAAGTGTAAACTGAGGCTTGCTAGCAGTACGTGTTCTCTACTTTGTGCTGACAATGGCTGTTCACATGACAGTCTCCCCAGCCAGCCAGAGCTCCTTCGAGGCTGTAGCCCTATCTCAGGCAAAACTTACCATCAGCTTCAAGAACAAATGATGCATAAATACACCAATAACAATAGTTGGGTTAGGGACTGGGTTGATAGTAATTCATTTTCTCTATGTTGAAGTGCTGTTGCAGTTTAAAATTTTTAATTTATCATTTCCTCATAAACTGCCAAGGCAGCAGGTACTCACAAGAAGGTTTTTCTCCAACTGGCTCTGCTGGATCTTAAGTGCTTCCTTCAGGCTGGCTACCTGCTTCTCAGCTTTCTTTCTTTCTGTTAAGAACTGGTTCCGCAGGAGGCTGAAGTCTGCCCTCACAGAGTCTGCCTCTTTCTGGAGGGCCAACAGCTCACCTGACTTCTCCGACAACTGCTGCTCCCTTTCTGAAAGCTGCCATTCTGAAATGAACATTTTCAGTAGGATTAGCCAAAGGCCCTGGGCCAGCTGTAGGCAGAGCTCCCCTTCCCTTGTGGCAGATGCATAATGGTGATCTGCTACCCATGCAGGTGCTTTCCTCCATTACAAAGTCTTATAAGCCTACCCTGACCCACACACCAAAGGCCCAAAAAAAATACCCAGATAAAGGTGCCTTTTGAAGTAATTGGTTCCTGAAGGGCCTGATCCCAAAGTGACAGACAGCTACTATCATCTCTTTTAAGTCTTTGTGACCAGTGAGAGGAAACCCCACACCAATCCTAAAGTGTGTGGAACTGCTGAAATTTTTTTAATAAACATTGATTTTCATAAAGGGAAGCACACCAGTACTAATTCCTTCCACAGGAGGCATTGCAGTGGAAAGAGCACAGGATTTGGAGCTGGCTCCTACACTGGCCTGAGCCCCATTTGATAGACGAGGAATACACTTCTTGATGTTCAATTGGAATCATATATGCAAACACCTGGTACATAGTGAGTACTTGACAGAGAATGCTTGCTAAATAAAAGTGAGATTTAAAATATATTTTTATCATCCTATTTAGAGAAGCACCCTGCCCAGATTTTACTTTTCAACAACTGGCATGATCAGAATTTAACATATTTTTTTAGTTTCATTTTCATAATGAAATGACTGGGTCTGGGTATATCAAAAGTTCCCAGGGAAAAATGAATAATAACCCTTTCAGATCCCCAAGCCCACAACATTTTCCGAGCATTATTAAACACTGCAGCCTACGAAAGAGGAAAACCATTTACTGATGTAAGAACAAGCACTTACCCTGGATTCCCATGTCAGCTTCATTTATATACGGTTCAAGAAAGAACAAACTGACCTAAAGGCAAACACCTGTATTCTAGTACCATTCACTATGCCAAATCTGGACAGAACTGTTAATATTATCTTTTGACACTTGAGATGAAGTAGATCATTATTCCCAAAGCTCGCAGATAATATAGTTTAAGAGTATCTTTTGGCAGTTCTTCACTTGAATGTTCCACTTTCTTGAGATAGCATTCTCAAAGGAGACAATATGAGCAAGGAAGGACTTGCTGGTCAGTCTCAGGATCAAATCTCTTCTCCATAAAGATAAATATTCCCTTTGTCTGTCTGAACCTGTTCCTCATCTTTCACAGGGCTATCATCATACCTCCTGCTTTGTTTCTCCTGGTCTCTGGCTGGGGTCTGGATCTCTTCAAACACTTTTGCAAGACAACCACCAGCAGAAGCAACCCCTACCCCATCTCCCAGTGAGAAGTTCCAGAATACATACTGGTTTGGGAGAGCATCTTCTCCAGGCTCTCACCCCACTTCTCCTCTTCCTGCAGAGTCCTAACACGCTCTTCAGCCACCAGCACCTGTGAGAGCACCTGGTCTAGTTTGCTTTTCTGGTCTGTTAATTCCTTTTCCAGCTGGTGCTGTTGCTCCTTCAGTGTCACTTTACTGGCTTCGAATTTGTTTTCTTCACTCTCTCTCTCTTTCTGGAGTCTCTGAAACATCTTAATAAAGAATAACCCTGATTAGTCACAAAACAACAAACAGTGTCCCAGACAACCTGCATGGACATGAGAAAGATTCTAGTTCAAATGAAAGTAGAAGACAGCCCACAGGGATAATTCCATTACAGAGGCGATCAAGAGGGCCTGGGAAGCTATCTGGCCAGCATGTGAAGAGGGGATTCTAGCAGCAAATGGCATGTGGACATTAAGTATCTTTACAGGACCGATATTCTATGATTTTTAAAGGTCTGTAAGAGAGTCACATTCTTGGTGTAAAAGCTACCCATGGCTACACAGGGCAGTTACGCGACACATAGTCCCATGGGGGATATTTCTCAGCAGCTTTCTGCCAGGAGAAAAATAAGCTCACATAAGTGACAAAACACTTCTTTTATATAAAATCATAAATGTGTACTACCATTTCTTGTTGGACTAGTTTGAGCTTGTTTTCTTCAATCTCATTCTGAAGCACATGAAGTTGTTGTTGTTTTGTCTCCTCTTTCTTCTGACAGTCTTCAAACCTTTTTGCCCATTCACTGATGTCCCTCTGGAGTCGGGTCTGCTCACTGAGCAATATATCCTGATGCTTGGTGGTGTGAAGCAGGTCCTTTAGGTGAAAGAACAAGTGGAAACTACTAATAAAACCATCTTTACTAGAAGTAGCCAGTACCAATCCAGTATCCATTAAGTCTGACAGAATGAGAGGCATAAAAGTTTATTTCCTTTATTATCTCAATCAACTTACAGGTACAAGAGAATTTGGATGTCTAATCCAGCTCTTTGTTATTATTATAATTTTTTCTAGACAGAGTCTTGCTCTGTTGCCAAGGCTGGAGTACAGTGGCATGATCTCAGCTCACTGCAACCTCCGCCTCCCGGGTTCAAGCGATCCTCCCATCTCAGCCTCTCGAGTAACTGGGACCACAGGCATGTGTCACCACACCCAGCTAACTTTTTGTCTTTTTAGTAGACGGGGTTTCGCCATGTTGGCCAGGCTGATCTCGAACTCCTGGCCTCAAAGTGATCCACCTGCCTTGGCCTCCCAAAGTGCTGGGATTACAGGTGTGAGCCACTGCATCCAGCCTGTGTCTAATGTAACTATTAATTTACATAATAGAAACTGAGGTCCACAACTTGCTTGCAGTTCTTTGAATTCCAGCACTATTCTCACAGGACAACACTGAACTACCTTTAAGAAAATCATCAGAAGTATAAGCGTCAAGAATCTGCTGTATTCAACATCTGACAAGACAGAGGCCCAAATCTGACAGTTACTCTATGGCTCAAGGAATCATCAAATCTAAGCCCAGCCTTTGGAGGCCTCATCTGTGCCACTGATGAGAGATGGTTCATCTGGTCCCTGAAGCCCCCAAAAGGGCTGCTGACAGACTGCTGCTGGGTTCTGGTCTAGCCACCACCCTACTTACTAGTTTTGGGTAAAACTTTGTTTGAATCAAGACTGCTCTCCACCAAAACTTTTATTTGATGGTTATGTTATATAAATGGCCCTATGGTACCTGCTGTTGTGAAAAAGAACCAGCCTACTTGATTTCTTTATTATTTAAACCAATTGTCTGGATTCCCTCAGTATACTACTAGAATATTACATTTGCTAACCGTACCTGTTTTGCTTGGTTCAAATGGTCTTGGACGTTAGCTAGTTCCTCCTGCAGTGAGTTTACTGCTTCTCGTTTTTCTACAGAAATGACATTTTCATAAAATAAGAAATACATATGTATTTATTGTACAGATTCCCATTAGTGTCCCCAAAAAGTAGAGAAGTTATTTTAAGCTTACTTCTGTTACATGTTTGATTATACCATACTATCTCACTAAAGGCCAAAAGAGAGTTACATGCACAATCCAGATTTGGGCTTGGGGTTAAGGTTTTTGAAGATTTTCATGTTCAAAATCTCACAATGAAAAAATTACAGATAATACTTAGTCAGGTGCATGGTTTAAAAACAGCTACCTTCTGCATTGTTGGTAGAAATATAAACTTAACCTTTCAGGAAGGCAATTTGGGAATAAATTTTATATGCTAGCTTTGTCAATTACTAGCTGTGTGACCTCGAGCAAGTCACTTCTCATTTAAGCAGTCACAAGAAAACTAAGCTTCAGTTTCCTTATTTATAAATGAGTAAAATAATTTTTATCTCATAAAAATCTTATGAGGATTAAATGAGAAAATCTAATACCAAGGACATAAAAAATGTTCAACAAGTATATTATTAGCTAGAATTACTCAGCAATTTCTTCTAAATAATCATATTTATGAACATTTGGTAATTTTAAAATCTTCATTATTTACATCTTTGTTTTCAAACTAGACACACACCCCTAGCAAAAATCTGGAAGGACAGTCACCAAACTGTTAACAGGAATCTATGAGGAATGAAGTCAACAGCAATTTTTATTTCTTTCTGCTATGTTTTAGAATTGTTGTCTAAGGAACATGAATTAGATTTTTTTAAAAAAAACTGACTTTATTGAGATAAAATTCACATATCATGTCCTATTTAAAGTGTACAATTGAAAGGCTTTTAGTATATTCAGATTGTGCAGCCATTACCACAATCTAATTTTAGAAAGAAATTCCATGAATTATTTCTGTCATAAGAAAAATCAAAGAATCTAACAAAGGGCAAGGAAATCACACATTGTCACTGTTCTGCTGCCTTATACCTTGGAGCTGCTGTTGCATTGCTGAAATGTCATTATGCAGTGACAGCTTGTCTCTGTTTAGTTGGTCTAGTTCCTGCTGCAGTTTTCTGACATTCAATTCCAACTTTTCTAAGTTTGATTTCTCCATTTTGCTATTTTCTTCTGCTGCTGCTAAAACCCTACCACAGAGAATAAGTCAGACTGTCAAATATAAAATATTCAAACACACACAGGAGATGACTGAGGAACAGTGTTACCCTTTCACAACATACAGTTATGGAAAGCATGAATGATTATAAATCTTCAGAAAATTTAAGACAACTCATTTTCAAAATCTTATTATCAGCTTTCTAAGTGGAGATTTTTTTCAAAAAGTGACTCACTAAATTGAAGTTTCATAAAAATCATGGATAAAAACATGGATAACATTCAGAATTCCAAAAATCTGAGTGATAAAAATGGAGCTAACATGTGACAATTGAAAAAGTAGAAATTAACTCTATGTACAGTAGAATCTGTCCATACAGCAGACACGCATGAGCATGTATTGTAGTACATAAAGGGAGTCACACAGTGTGGACTTGTTTTTGTCTGGCTTCTTTCACTCAGCATAGTTACTTTGAGATTCAGCCATGTTGTGTGTACCAATACTGCATTACCTTCTTATTGCTGAGTAGTATTCTACAGTGTGGATACACTACAATTTATTTATCTGTTTACCATCTGATGGACATTTGGGTCATTTCCAGTTTTTGGTTATTACTAATAAAGCTATCATGAATATTAGCATATACTCTGTGTAGAAATATGCTTTCACTTCTCTTGAAAAAATGTTGCTATTCACTTGGGGTGGCTGGCAAGATATTAAAGATATGAACTGTTAGGAAAAATATAGATTGTAATCTCAAACCTTTTGGAAGACCAAAGGGTTTTATAGGGGTAGGTTGAAGGCAGCCCTCATTAACATTAGCATAGGAAGGAGATTAAAGACTGATCAAAATGCCTTACCCCACAACCCTTTGTCTCCACTCTGTTTACTCATGTTAATTTTGTGCTGGGTGGTCTCTCCAAGAGGATGATCAAAGGGGAATTGTCTGTTAACTGCAATTACTCTGGGTACCAGAACCAAAAGCTTTTATCAGTTGTAAAACCATTCTCTTAACCATGTTAATTATCCACAAGTATGTTAACTTAGAACCTCTACTGTAATGTCTAGGGAATAAATGTATCTAGGAGTGGAATGGCTAGTTCTTCTGGTTGGTGTATGTCTGATTTTTAAGTAACTGTTAAACTGTTTTTCAAAGTGGTCATACCGCGTCCCTCAATGGTATATGAAAGTTCCTGGATAACTATCTGGTACGGTTGTTGTTCTAATAGGTGTGTAGTGATAACTCTCTGTGGTTTTAATTTGCATTTCTCTAATGATTAATGATCCTGTGTATCTTTTCATCTGCTTATTTGCCATCCATTTATCTTCTATCATGAAATGTCTGTTCAAATCTTTTGCCCATGAAATAATTGAGTTGTCTTATTGAGTTCTGAGAGTTCTTTATATATGTATTCCAAATATAAGTCCTTTATCAGATACATGGGTTGCAAATATTTTTTTCCCAACCTGTGATGTATCTTTTCATTACCTTAATAGTGTCTTTTGAGGAGGAGCAATGTTTTAAATTTTGATGAAGTCTAATTTTATCAATTTCTTTTATGAATCATGCTTTCGGTGTCATACCAAGAATTTTTGCCCACTCCAAGGTCACAAAAGTTTTCTACTATGTTTTATGTTTTCTTCTAGAAGTTTTACATTTAGGTTTTACATATATGTTTATAGTCATATATATATATGTTTAGTCACATATATATGTAAAACTTAAATATAAAACCTATATATGACTGTAAACATATATACAAAACCTATATAATACATATAATAATTTATATATATATTTATATGTATTATATATAATATATATATTATTTTTTTTTTTTTGAGACAGGGTCTCATTCTGTCACCCAGGCTGGAGTGTAGTGGTATCATCATGGGTCACTGCAGCCTTGACCTCCCAGGCTTAAACAATTCTCCCACCTCAACTTCCTAGCCTGGCTATTTAAAAAAATTTTTTTCTATGTTGCCTAGGCTTGTCTCAAGCTCCTGGGCTCAAGTGATCCTCCTGCCTTGGCCTCCCAAAATGCTGAGATCACTGGCATGAGCCACTGTGCCGGGCCTCATTTTAAATTAATATTTATCTATTATACATAGTGACGTTCTTTTTTTTGGTTTTGTATATCCAATTGTTTCAGCAACTTTTTTTTAAAAGACCATCTTTACTGAAAAAGATGCCTTTGTATCTTTATCAAATCAGTTGTCCACATACATGTCGGTTTATTTCTGGACTTTCTATTCTGTTCCGTTGATCTATGTGTTCATCTTTATACTAATACCACAGTGTTTTGATTATTATAGGTTTATAAAAGTCTTGCAATCAGGCAGTGTTAGTTCTAAATTTTTGTTCTACTTTCTCAAAGTTGTTTTGGTGTCATACCTAAAAAATTGTATAAATTCTATTCTAGGTCCTATAATAATTTGATTCTAGGTTCATGTAATTTTAGAACCAGCTTGTCAATTTCCATAAGAAAAATCTATTCAGATTTTAATTGTAACTGTTTTGAATCTAGAGATCAATTGGAAGAGAACTAAATGGTTAACAATGTTGTCTTCTTGTCCAGGAACAAGACATATCTCTCCATTTATTTCCAGCATGTATTATTTTACTTAAAAAAAAAGAAAACCACAGGCCAGGTGCAGTAGCTCACATCTGTAATCCCAGCACTTTGGGAGGCTGAGGCAGGCAGATCACAAGGTCAGGAGATTGAGACTATCCTGGCCAACATGGTGAAACGCCGTCTCTACTAAAATACAAACAATTAGCTGGGTGTGGTGGTGCATGCCTGTAGTCCCAGCTACCCGGGAGGCTGAGGCAGGGGATTCACTTGAACCAGGAGGTGGAGGTCCCGGTGAGCAGAGATCACACCTCCGCAGTCCAGCATGGCGAGAGGGCAAGACTCTGTCACAAAAAAAAAAAAAAAAAAAAAAAAAAGATTAAAAAAAATACTTTTGAGGAAAAAAAGCTAGTACGAAATTCGCCAAAAATTTCAACTGGCAAAATGTATTATGATACCAAGTTTGTGGTACATTTTTTTTTTTATCCCTTTCTCTACTTTCCAAGTTGTTTACAGTGTGTTTACAATGCTTAGGCCTGAAGAAGTGATCCTGCAAGCTTATTTGGTCTTACTCTCACCTTTTGGTTTGTGCCAACTTTTTTTCCCAAGTGTCACATTTCTCTTGGAGATCTTCCTTTTCTTTGCTCAAACGCTCAACACATGATTGCAAAGCTCGAGACTCAGCAGTCATTCGTTCTATTTCTCGTTTATCCCTCTCAAGGAGCTGCTTCTGCCCGTCTAGTTCCCCTTTCTGCTGCTGGACTATCTGCTGCAAATTCTCTAACTCCAGTTTCTCCTAAATTAGATAAAAGAGGACTCAAACATCCTAAATGAGAAAGACTTCAGTTTCTTAAGGGTACAATGGTTTTGTTCATTACCTCTAGCACTGCCACCTGAGTCTTCTCTAATTCAGATACCTTTTGTTCATGTTGTAGCTTCAAACCTTGTAGTTCATTGTTTTCAAGTTGCAACATGTCCAGAATATTCTTTAGTTCTAAGGGACAGAAGAAACAAAGCATGGTCCATGCTATTAAATGAACTTGGAAAACGTTTACAAAATTAAACAGAAAAAAATGCTATTGACTAATATAAAGTAATTTTTAAAATTTTGTTGAACTGAATAAGGCTAATTTTATTTTTAATAAAAAAAGTTCTCTAAATGTGTTGTTAACTATTATTTAATTTGTTAAAAACATTTTAACAAACCAGGTGCAATGGCATGTGCCTGTAATCCCAGCCATTTGGAAGGCTGAGGTAGAAGGACTGCTTGAGCCCAGGAGTTTGAGACTAGCCTGGATGACAGAGCAAGATCTCATCTCTATATAAATAAACAGATCAACATATCAACAAAAACATTTAATGAACAAAGATCCTGGTTCCAAAGCATTTGCTTCTATATAAAAGAATGAACTAATGATCATTTTATATAAAATTGATCAAAATAAATTTTTAAAAATTTTAAAATACAGACAGATTTATATAACAATTTTTTGGCCTTTGAAATACAGATATTTAAATATTAACTTTTTTCCTGATTATAGAGATAACTGCTTACTGTAGAAAAGTTGGAAAATACCAAAAAAAAAGCGTAAGAGAAAAAAAATGAAAACCCACCATCATTTCACCATCCCAAATCACTATTACAATAGCATTTTGATGTATTTCCTTCTAGGACTGCACACTCACACTCACACTCACACTCACACACACACACACACACATTTTAAGATAAACTGGGACTATACTCCATATTCATTTTTTACATATTTTTTTTTCATTCTTCCCATGAGCATGTTTGCATGTCATTAAATGTTAAAAATATGGCTTTTAAATTGGTCATTTGTTTCCAATTCCGGGGGGGGGACATGGCAGAAGAGGCAATATTGCCCAGGCTGAAGCACAGTGGCATAATCATAGCTCACTGCAGTCTTGACCTCCTGGGCTCAAGGGATCCTCCCTACTTGGCCTTCTGAGTAGCTGGGACTACAGGGGTACATCACTGTGCCTCACTAACTTTTGAATATTTTTGTAGAGATGGGGTCTCACTATGTTTTGCCCAAGTGGTTTTGAACTCCTGGGCTCAAGCAATCATCTTGCCTCAGCCTCCCAAAGAACTAGGATTATAGGCATGAGCCACCACACCCAACCTGTTTCCAAATTTGGTCATCATAAACATTGGTGCGATGTACATAAATGCTTGCTGTCTCTGGAGGAGTAGAAATGGGCTGATTGGCTCAACAGGGGTGAATTTCAAGAGTCTTGAAACACTGGGAGATTGTTTTAGTTTATACCTCAATTGATATAGGCTGCGAGTACACTTCTTTCACAACACTCTGATCATCAATGAGCATGATTATTTTGCTTTTAAATAAAGTTTATCGATTCAAATGGCAGAAAATAATACCATATTCCTTTTATAACGTGCTTTCTTTGCTTATTAGTAGTAAGGTTAAACTTTAAAGTTTATTTAGCCATTTGTTATTTTTTCAATGACTTGTAATACAGACATTTCCAGCCTCAAACTTTGTATGATTGTTTTCCTTTAAACTTACCAGTTTTATGTTTAGACATCTGCCTTAAAACAACCTGAAGATTCTCTTCCTCTTTTTCAATTTCCTGCTTTATAAGTGTAAGTTGGGTTTTTCTTTCACTAATCTGAACATTCAGTTCTCCTTTCTGAACACTCAGTTCTTCCAGAAGAGATTTTACTTCCTGCGTTTAAAAAAAAAAAGTTACACCCTCCTGTGATCGTAAATGAAAATTACTTTAAAATAAGTTATCTTATTGTCTTATTTCATAGAAATTCTAATTTGGAATCAAGCTCATTTTTGCCTTTCATGTCAAGAATAGCATTATATTTGGCAGGAACCTATTTCTATATAATAGAAGCAAAAAAGTAACATATTCTCTTCATTTAAATATATTTGCAACATTACTATAAGCAAGGCAATGTGCTCTAGAGAGAAAAGGCTGACTGAGCCATGGCTCCTGCTCTGGAAGGGCTTAGTACCTTGTCGAGTGCTAAGGCAGGGAACATAAACACAACCACAAAAGGCTAAGATGGCCTAAGAAACAGGTAGACAGAGTGTTTCTAAACTCAAAAGAAGGAAACTCCTTCTTACAGGATAAAGGAAAAAGAAGTTTTCTTTTTTGAGACAGAGTCTCCCTCTGTTGCCAGGCTGGAGTGCAGTGGTGTAATCTTGGCTCACTGCAACCTCCGCCTCCCTGGTTCAAGCGATTCTCCTGCCTCAGCCTCCCATGTAGCTGGGACTACCGGCATGAGCCACCACTCCCAGCTAATTTTTGTATTTTTAGTAGAGACAGGGTTTCACCATGTTGGCCAGGATGGTCTTCATCTCTTGACCTCTTGATCTGCCTGCCTTGGCCTCCCAAAGTGCTGGGATTACAAGCCTGAGCCACTGTGCCCAGCCAGGAGTTTCCTTAGAGGAGGTGGCATAAAGCTGGGCAATGAGAAACAGGTGGGATCTGGCTAGTGATAGAGGAGAAGGGGAATCCCTGGAGAAAAATGGTATCAGCAGGAGAACTTCGGGCATATCCAGAAAACAACGAAGAGGGAACTACACATGACAGCCACTCCATGGATATGTAACAATACCAAATTGATGTTACAGAGGAGGCAAGATTTCAGGAGTTTGTATTTTCATTTGGGGAGAAGCGATGAAAATATATAAAAGTAAACCTATAGCACTATCCTAAGACTTTTCAGAAAACCTAATAAAAAACATACCCTAATGTGGTTACACTTCTCAGCTACTTCAGTCTCTCCCATTCTCAGAGCTTTCTGGAGGTCAGCTTTTGCCTGGACCATGCTTCCTTGGAGTAGATGCAGCTCCTCCTTTTTATGCCCTAACTGCCTGTCCAAGACAGCCATCTCCTGCTGCTGACTTGTCACCTGTATTAAAGAAAAGGGAAGAGTAAGTTTGACAAAGGCCATGCAACCCTCAGTGCTAACCTGGAGATAATTTAGTTGTAAGGCAAAATCAAGAGCTAATATCCTAGTTATTCCCCAAGAGTCAGAAAGCCCAGGCAAGGGGTGTGAGGATGAAATGCCTAAAGAAGACCTTGAGCCCACATATTTAAAACCACTCAAATCACAGTGATCACAGTAAGAACAATATCATAATCATGATTATCCCTCAGGTTATGCTTTTCAAAGAAATTTTATTTTTATACCCTAATTCCATTTTGACATCCTTGGTGATGGAAGTTAGAGATTTTTTAAATTTATTCATCTTTAAAATCAAAAATTCATTACATTTTTAAAGATAATACGTATTTGTTTACCAAAAAAGAAAAAGGAAGAAGATCATGCAGCTATCTAAAAGGAAGAAAACAGAAAATGCCCAAAATCCTCCCTTCTCAGATGACCACTTTTGTACCTTGGTATTGACTAAAAATACAACCACAAGTGTTCTTAAAGACATTTAACAGAAATGATTTCATAGAGTATACCATGTTTTGAGACTCACTTTTTTTACTCAAAAATATATTGTATTAAGTTGGGATTCGAATTTAGTTTAGACTTTATGCTTAACAACTATGATACGTAGCCTTATTTATTCTTTTTTACAATTAAACATGTATTACTTTATAATCATAAAACATATGTAGGTTTTAATACTGTGTGAGTTGTTTTTTTCAAGACGTCTATTGCCATACCTGGCTTCTCAGCTTTTCTAGCTCGGCTCTCTTGACCTGAAGAAGTGTCTCAGATTCTTTAAGGACCTGCAGGTGGTGATCCTCATTGCGTTCTGCCATCTCGATGTCTTTTTGCAGTTTCTGAAGCCTACAAAGCACCAGCAGCACTAGAGCAGATCCTAAGGGACTCTAAACCCCAGGGCTGTCTTCCAGCACAAACCCCTTGCAGCCCTATAGAGGCCTTACTTACTCTTCTGTCAGTTTTTCCTTCTTCTTGCTTAAACACTGGAAGTCTGAGTCTTTTGCTGCTACTATTTTGTTTATTTCTTTCAAGATTTCTTCCTGCTTGATTTTGTGCTGCTCCAAATCCTTTGCATCAGCCTGGAGCAATCTAAAACATATTGCTTTATTCCCCCCAGGTCCTGTAGACTGAACGTGCATTATTTATCATAAACCAATTATTATCCTCTTAGAAGCAAACTTTTCATTCATCTCAACATATACATCAATGGCTTAGGGAATCCACCTACCTTAGCTGCTGATCAGCTTTGACAAGGTTAACGGCAGTTTCCTGAGCTCTCCTTTCTAATTCCTCAGCATCTGACTCAGTTTGCAATAAACTTCTCTTGGCATCAGTGAACTTTTCAACAGCATTTTTTGTCTAGGAAAGAAACTGTCATTAAAAGCCATTCAGTTACAATACTCACTCACAGCTATTGGCCATATAAACCAGTACAGTTCTTTTGGAAAACAAGATGATACAGAAAGACATAAAAACGTCCATTCACTATAACTCTAATTCTCGGTAAATAATTCAGAAGCAAAAAACTACTACATAAAAATGCTCATTGTATAATAATATAAAACCTGACAAATAATAATAAATAGGCTAAGTGATAATGCATTAACAAAGTGGAATACTGTGTAGCCTTTAAAATGATCAGATGACAATGTAGCAACATGGAAGAATGTTAATGACATGTTGGCTGAGAAAAATAAATTTAAAATGGCATAAGCACTTAGAGAGCAACTATATAACACTACAGTTGTGTCAACAAAGAAAGACTATACAAAAATAATTACGGTCATTTGAAAGTAGTGGAACTAAAGATGCTTTTTATTTCAAAATAATCTGAATTACTATTATATCATTTTTAAATATTAAAACCATCTACCCAACTAAGTGGCAATGAAATGATTTTACCAAGATTCCCTCCACACACAGATTCTTGCTGTACTCTAGTCATTATCAAGTGAAGTAAAAATGCATTGATCTGATGATGATGTAATTATGGCTGATAAACACAAACATTAAATGCTCTGCAAATATTTAAAATCTTCCTATATAAGATTTTGTAAAAACACTATATATATTTTTTATCAACTTGGATTCTTTTTCTGCCTAACTGAAGAGGCTTAAAACAATGACATCAAAAGTTCCAAAAATAGAGTGTGGTTTGCACTTGGTTGAGCAGTGACTCACCTTCAGCCAAAAAAAAAAAACTGAGGTCTGCCATTGTACTAAAGCCAGAGGAGTCCGTATGTTAAATCTGTCTATTAAATATCTGTGTGGAGGCAAAAGGGTTGGCAAGCACCTGGAGAGCTACATATTTCACTGTACGTCTTTCCATTTCAGATAGCTTTTTTCTGTCAATTTTATCAGCAAAGCATTGGACAAAACTCACTATGCATTCCAGAGGGCCACCAAATAGTTTTTTGTCTCCTTCTATGTCAGGTTTTAACATGTCTAGCACACTCCTTACAAAACGCCACTACTTTCTCTCTCCTCCTCCTTCTTACCAAGCTGCCTCCCTGAGTCATTTTGGGAAGATGAAGGTGAAAGAACTTATCAGCCTTGGTTCACTTACTACCTCTGCCTACTACCAGTGTCACCAATTTTCTTTTGAGGATTTTACATATCTCTATATATTACTATATAATCAAAATATGCCAGTGATATTTTGATGATGTATCATCAAAATAATATATATATTATTATATCAGTGATATTTTTTCCTCCAGTTCTGCTCACAACTATTTTCTCTCACAGTAATCCAACATATGACAACAGAAGTAACAGCTCATCTGAAAAAAGAGGACTTTTTCCATTCTTAATTACTCACAGAATTTGTTTAATAATTTAGTTCCTAGGTAATAGATTGCTATTAATTTAAATAGATTCACATTGAAATAGCAATATAAAAATAATGGTTCCTGAGGTGTTTCATGTGGGTAAGGAACTCTTTTCATCCTGGAATTCTCATTTAACTAAAAGAGCTCTTGGTTGGGTGTGACTCTGGGCCAGTAATGAGCCTCTCTGAGCTACATCAGTAAACCAAGCTAACGTCATCTTACAGGTTGCCAGGAAGGTTAAATGAAACATTTACAAAATGGCCATGTGTAGCCATAGCAGTGGCTCAATAAAAGGTAGCTCCTTTTTCTCTCCAACTTCCCTCTGTATTATAGTCTAAAGAATATTATCTCAGACAAAAAATATTTTGTATCATTATCAACTTGAAGAACAAAGCAATACTTGTGAGGTCCACTGTAGCTTAATAGGAATATAAAGATTGACCTATTTAAAAAAACACAGGTAGTAGAACCCAATCACGTTAAATACAAAATATACACACTAGATAAGGAGGTGGGGTATGCTGTAAACAAAATAACTTCAGGAATTTTGAATATACTGTTTTATTTAATCCATGTTGAAAGGCCTACATATTCTTAGCCTGAATTTACAGATGAGAAAAGCAAAGCCAGGGGACTTAGGAGATTCCAGCTTGGAACCTGGCTGTCTGACTTGGACAACTGTTCTCTCATCACACACATTCTCTTTCTAATCCTTCATGTGGACAGTACGCTGACTCACCCACACTGAGCTCACACCCCAAACCACAACAGGACATACCTTCTCTTTAGTGCTTGAAAGTTCACTCTCAGCCTCTGCCAGGAGTCGGTCAGCTTCCCTGAGCTCTGAGCGACGTTTCAGAAGAGTCTTCTCAATGCACTCAATTTCATCTACAATATCTTCATGATGTTTGAGTGATTTTTCTATTTCTAGTTCAGTCATAAGACTCTCAACATTTCCATCAATGAAGTCCCTAAAAAATAATATACACGCCCATTAAAAGATGTTAAATGTAGACAATATAGTAGCTTAATTACTTAAAAAATGCACAATGATTTTCTAATTTTATATTAAAATAGATAAGAAAGACTGCTACATTTGATTATGTTCAAGGTCTATGTTTACCATTTTACAAACATGGAATTCTTATTGGCAATAAAGGTATAATATGTAAAATGTAAGATACAGAATTGTTTCTCCTTTTAACAACAAAGATTATTGTGTTGTCAGCACTTTACCAAGAAAATGCTGATACTTCTGTTCTTCTGAGATATAAAAATAAAGCAAACCACTACCACAGCATTCATCCATTCCCTCAAAACTATCCTTCAAGGGTCAGTTGCTGTCCTGATGACTACCTGATTTTGTGATTTATTCCATTCAGCTAGAGTAAAACTCTAGTGACAACATTTGACGCATTAGAAACCATGACACACAATTCAATATCTTAACGCTAACATGACAAAATTATTTGAAAACTGGATTATCTATGACTGCATGACAGAAAAATATGAAAATAAATTCAACATTTAACAGACTCTCTTTAAATGAAAGCATACGTATGATTTTTACTTTCTTCTTGGAACATTTTTGTGTTATCCAAATTTCCTAGAATAGTACTTATTACACTTTTATAACTATGAAAAGTGGCAATCCTACCACCCTATCATCTCCCTCAGAAAAACCTCGAAATAAAAAAATGCCACTCCCCAATGCGTTTACCCATAAAAATAACAGATATAACCATTCGCCTACCCTTCAAACGTGTTGTCCCTTTCTTTTAGGTGTGGCCCTTGCTTTCCCTTGCCAGGACCATTAGTCACATGTCTGCTGCTAGATGGCAGTGACCACATCCTACTTACCTGTGTCCTCTGCAGGCCTCCCTACCACCTTGGGGCCTGGGCCAGGCTGGGTTAAATGACAAAAACTGGGGAACTGTCACAATTCATGGAGTACTGCAAAAAATAGGCTGTTGCATAATTAACCCAATCAACAGATGTTGCATTCATTAACTGACCCTATGACAGGTGCCGGGACACAGAGATGGAGGTCCAGCTACTGGGCTCCTCACAACATTGTATGAACCATGCTATGTCCAAAGTTGCTAACCTTGAATTGTGGGTAGCTGAGAAAAGGCTTTTAATGAGAAAAAAAAAGGGAGGGTATCTCTGACCTTTATTTTGAAGACAGGAGTCAGCAGGGAGAACACAGTACATGCAGAAGTGTGGGGGCAGGAGAAAACATGGTGCTTGGAGAAACCACAGGAAAGTAAGTGGGCCAGACTAAACACTGATATAAAAAAAAGACAGGTGGGGATCAGATGGAGAAGGGTGGTATATATTCTGATGGGACTAAGAATCACATGGGAAAGTGAAACAGTCAGATTTGCAGTGTGTCAAGATAGAGTGGAGACCAATATGGAGTGGAGACCAATATTGTCAGTGGAGAGACAACATGGAAGGCCAGTGTGGAAACTATTACAATGGCCAGGATAAGACTGATTAAAAGCTAGAGAAGGGGAGATGACAGAAAGGGACCAGTTTGAGAGCTCTCTGGGTGCAGAGTCAGCAGGATTTAGAGACCAACTGGAAGCACAGGAGAGTATGGGAAGGGGAAGAGCTGAGAACCCCTGCCATATTTTTAGCAGCGGGTAACTGGAGAGGGGAAATGCTTACACCACTCTCCAAGAGGACTACAAGAAAAGCTGATTTGTATTATTGGCTGAGAGAACTCAGACCTGTACTGCTCAATATGGTACTTAATATGCGGCTATTAAATTAATTGAAATTAAATTCTGTTCCTCAGTTCCATAAGCCACATTTCAAGTGCTCGACAGCCATATTTAGCTAGTGGTTACTGTTTTGGACAGAAGATCAAGAACATTCCAAAGTTATAGAAAGTTCTATTCAACAATGTTAATGAACTAGTATCAAATTTGTCTGAATTATAAAAATGTATTAATTACTTTTGCTGTTGACGTTTCTGAACAGTTCTATGTAATTCTTCTATTTCATGCTCTAAGCATTTCTTCTCTTGCAAAAGATCATCAATATTATGATGCAGTTCTTCCATTTCTTTCTCAGACTGCCACTTCGATGCTCTCATCCACCATCCTTTCCGTCTCTTTGATTTTAAATGCTGCATTATGTCTTCTAATCTAGAAACTTCATTCTCCTGAATGAAGAAGGGGAAAAAAAAATGCAGTGCTGGAACATTACAGGACGTTTCCTGTCTTTCCTGCCAAAAGCTGAAATTAACTGTGGTTAAAGTGGTATCAATGACCCAAAAAATGATGGTAGATTCTAAGACTTTGGTATAAAAACTTAAATGTCATGGATGAAATTGATGGACAAATAGAACCTTTAATTTTTCCATCAGTCCAACTACGATTCAGAAACATGTGCCACGTGTCTCGTGGATAAACTCTGCCTCCAAGGTTCAGTGTCTAGCAGAAGATACAGACAGAGGCCACTCCCTCCTCTGGACACATGGGAGAAAAGTTGTCCAAGAAGATTGCCTAGAAGAAGAGGTGTTTTGCCTGGGTTTTGAAGAATGAATGAAAAGGGAAAGACCTAGGCTGAAGAAATAACATATGCAAATGTAGGGAAGTATAAAAGTGCACCTGAGAAACTATGTAAACAGTTGGGTAAGTTGGGATAGTAAAAGAACCAGTTCAAGAGATTATCAATAAATGCTGAATAGAAAGAATTGTTACAAATCAAAATGTGCAAGAAAAAACTGCAAGAGAATGTGCGTAACTATAGTTAACCATGTAAATGCACACAGGCCCTCTAAAACTAGTCTGATCTATTACAAGGGACTGGCAACTTGATTCTCAGGTGTCCTAGTCCTTTATTTTCTACTCCGTCTGCCGAGAGGGGAAGGAAAAAACAAAGCCTCCAGGTTTCTGAGTCTGAATGAGGAGCTTAGGCTGCATTTTACTTCTTTAGAACCAAAAAGTCAGAAAGTAATCTAGCAAGGCTGGGCCTAGTGGCTCATGCCTGTAATCTCAGCACTTTACAGGTCAGGCAGGTGGATCACTTGGGGTCAGGAGTTCGAGACCAACCTGGTCAACATGGTGAAACCCCATCTCTACTAAAAATACAAAAATTAGTCAGGCATGGTGGGTACGTGCCTGTAATCCCAGCTACTCGGGAGACTGAGGCAGGAGAATCGTTTGAACCCAGGAGGTGGAGGTTGCAATGGGCCAAGATCACGCCATTGTACTCCAGCCTGGGCGACAGAGCAAGAGTCTGTCTCGAAGAAAAAAAAAAAAAAAAAAAAAAAAAAAAAAAAAAAAAAAAGGAAGTAATCTAGTGATTAAGAAATAGTCATTTCTTAAACTATAGCCCAAGAACAAGAGATACAGTAAGAATTTACAGTCAGGTACGGTACCTACAAATATAGAAATGTTGGATAGCAATTAAAATACTGTTTAAAAACATTTGTAAAAGCATGGGCAAATGCTTATGACATTAAGTAGGAAAAACAGAATACAAAATATTGTGTAAGGTAAAATATAAACTAAGAAAATAAATAATAAATAAATCCCACCACCTAGAGATAATCCCCACCAAAACCTTATTGTATGCTGTCCATACATGTGTGCATACCCATGCACACACATATATATATGTGTATACACACGTTATACATATATGTATGTGTGCAAGTACAGGCACTAGTATGTGAATATGTACATATGCAATAATATAACACTTGTCAATAGAAAAATATATAAGCTTTGTAAAAATGGTTAATTTCTGGATTGAAAACATTTCTGTTATTAAATGGCTAAACCAGATTTGTAGGCTGGCCTAAGACCTAATTCTTGTACATGGTACTTTTGGGGTTTTTTTGTTTTGTTTTTTGCTGTTACCCAGATTGTCCTTGAATTTCTGGGCTCAAGAAATCTTGCTTCAGTCTCCTGAATAGCTCAGACTATAGGCACATGCTACTGCTTGTATAAGAGAATTTTAGTAAGAATGCTTGCACAGTTCTAAACATCAGCCTTACAAAAACACTTTTGCCATATAATCCAGTCATAAACAGATAAACTAATTATATAACCTTATCAGTCACCCATGAAAGCAGTGTAGAAACAGAGTTCTATGTCTTTCCACTTACTAAGTGATGGTGTTCTGGGACGTTGCAATGCAGAACACCCATAGGAATGAGGGGGACGGAGAAGTTTGGGGGTGGAGGCCCATATACCATGGGGGCCCCAGCAGGAGGTGGGCCATAAACAACAGTGCCAGGGGTGAGAGGTTGGCTATTGTTTGGCAAGGGAGGAGGTAGTGCATACAGGGCCATGCCCTGGGGTACAGGAGAACCATCAGGAAGCACAGTATACATCATGTATCCAGGAGGAGGCACAAATGGGGGTTCTTCTTGGTCATCCAGCTCACTCTCTTCCTGGCTATCTCCTCCACTGTCTGCATCTTCAAAGAAATAAACAGAAGAGTTTATTAAACAAAAGAGTGTATCACCCCCATGGTTTACCAGGTAAACAAATTTAGTAGAGAACAGCAGCATTTAAGCCAACATACTGGAGATGTGAGAATAAAACTCTGAAAAAAAGGTCAAAACTATTTTTGAAAAGCAGATTGAAACATGGATTCAAAGTATTTTCTATGGCTAATACTTGAGTTTTTCTTAGGTTTATCTGTTGGTTTGTTCCTGCATTCGTTAATTTATTCATTAATTAATTAAGTGACCACTGGGTGTTTAATTCACACTACATACAACATTTAACAGCACTCAGTGTTTACCAATGTCATAACATATAACACTCTCCAATGTGACAGCTTACTAACTTATCTGCCCTAAAAGCAGGACATATGTTTGCTGATCACTGACAACAGAGAACTCAGCACACAGCAGGCACTCAGTAAACACTTCCTGGCCATGTGTGGTGGCTCACACCTGTAATCCCAGCACTTTGGGAAGCAAAGTGGGCAGGTCAGTTGAGGTCCGGAGTTTGAGACCAGCCTGTCTGGCATGGTGAGACTCCCATCTCTACTGAAAATACAAAAATTACCCAGGTGTGATGGTGCGTGCCTGTAACCCCAGCTACTTGGGAGGCTGAAGCACGAGAATCACTTGAACCTGGGAGGTGGAGGTTGCAGTGAGCCAAGATTGCACCACTGCACTCTAGCCTGGGCAACAGAGCAAGACTCCATCCCCACCAAAAAAAGTTCCTGAATGAACAAATCCTCAGAAGGTAGTATTCACATTTTACAGATTAACAGTTTCAGAGCAGCTAAATAATCAGCGTAAGACCACATAGCTAATAAGTGAAAAGATTTACTCAGGTCTGACTCTTTCCCTGGAACTTTGAAAGATAGACCCATAACACTTCATTTTAGGAGGGTGAGATTAAGGCCATGATGCAAGGATACAAGACACCATGCTCCAGTACAGTCTAAGAGACTGCTTAGTCAGCATGGGTGAAGCAGGGTAGAAGGCAGCTCCATTTAGGTGCATTGTTTGAGGACCTGGGTGTTGCTGAAGGATGAGTAGGCATCAGTATGGGAGGGTAAGGAGGAAGGACATTCCAGACAGGGTTTAAAACTCAACAGGAGGTTGTTGGCCAAGACCAGATAGGTCACAGAAAACCTCACAGAGTTAGCTAAGGAGTCTAGACTGCATCTTAGGGATTTAAGGGAATCAATAAAAGGTTATTAAATAGGCAAGAGAATGCAACTTTCCTATGTGATTTGACTTACCTCTATTTGGAAACAATTTATGTAACCCACTCCTGATGGGAGAATAAACCCAATATCCTGAGGCAGGTGGAGGTCCACTGCCTTCTTTCCCATCCTGCTGCCCAGGGCGTGGTTTTCTAACAGGAGTTGAGGCTGTGTACTTAAGGCCGACACCAGAGTCCCTGGTGGCCTGGGAACTATGGCTAGAAACCTAAAACAAATGACAGCAGAGCACACTATCTATTAAAAGCAGAAAGGCTAATTTTAAGAAATGTCAAAGTCTAGAGCAATGTTGAAATGTGGCAAGGTTGAGAAAGAACTTGTTTTCTTTTCATTATCCTCATTTTTCATGGAAGTGAGGTGATTACACAGTCACATAAACTGCAGTTACATACACAATTCAGCTTATTAACATCCCTCTGGACTTGATCGACATAGCAAGTATCATGGAAGCCATGCAGAAAGGAGGACTGTGTGTAATTGCTGGGGTCACATCAGACTGGTCTGTGAAAGTGACGGGCTCAAAGTGTGGTGAAAGCAGCCAAACTAATGTCTATCCTTTCAAAAGCTATTTTTAAATATCCACCTCCTATCCTGCCTTTTGGAACAATTTTCTAGAAATAACATGTCTTCGGCCAGACCAAAATGGGAAAAGCATATCATCTGGCTGTTTGACTGGGTTAATTTTATGCAGCAACTCCCCAAGAGAGAGAAATGAAAATAAGTTCTCCATAGTAATCAGGCTCCTGGGTGTCAGACTCTCTTCTCCCTGTAGTCATTTTTCCTAGTGATTTTTTTGTTTTGTTTTGCTTTGTTTTTAACCTCATCCTTGATGGCCCAGTGACTAAGGCAAAGGAAACCAGTGAACTTTCAAAGAAATCTGGGGACACCAGTCTTCTGCTGTCCGGGGAGCTTGGCAAGGCTTTAAAGCTCTATTCTGCTGACCTCCTTCTCCTTACCAGTCTGTAGGTCCATCATCTAAACCCTCATCCAGATCAGGCTTATATGTTGTGCTCTAATTTATACTGCTTCTACCTCCAGCTCTGGTTGCGCCAAGGAGTTGGCTTCCTTTAGGATTTCTGGGAGAATCTAAGATTCTGCTCTTCAGGGGTCTGGTTAAGTCTATATAGCCCTGGGATCCTAGTGTGTCTGAGCTGCTTCTCCCTGACTACTGCTCATCAGCTGATGCTAGCAGGATGGCACCAGGCCCCTCTGCTTTGGATGAATATAGCCAACAGTCTTCTCCTCACTTCCTACATTCAGGCCCCAGTCTTCTCACTTTCCACATTCAGGTCCCAGGCCCTGATCATTTCTCTTTAACATCCTTTAATCTCATCTCCTCTTTCCCAGCTCCACTGTAATCTAGCTCTGGCTTCTACTCTTTACCTGAATCAATTCAAAGAGCCCCACGGAAAGCTCATCCTACCACAAGTCTGGTCTCTATACTAGCCAGAATATTACTCCTAAACTATAACTCTGATCATGTAGTACACAACCCATTTCCCATGGCCTATATAATTAAGTGTAAGAGATTCTAAGCCCCGTTTTAAAAAAAAGCATGACTCCAGGCTGGGCATGGTGACTCACGCCTGTAATCCCAGCACTTTGGGAGGCCGAGGTGGATGGATCACCTGAGGTCAGGAGTTCAAGACCAGCCTGGCCAACATGGCAAAACCCCATCTCTACTAAATATAAAAATTAGCCAGGTGTGGTGCTAGGTGCCTATAATCTCAGCTACTCAGAAGGCTGAGATAGGAGAATCGCTTCAACACAGTAGGAAAAGGTTGCATGGAACTGAGATCATGCCACTGCACTCTACCCTGGGTGACACAGCAAGGCTCTGTCTCAAAAAAAAAAAAAAAAAGCACGGCCTCAATCTACGTTTCAGCTTCATCTTTCACTGCTCCTGTAAACCTTCTAGCCCCACAAAGCTACTTGTCTTTGCTAAGCCAATAACTCTCCTTTTCCATAAAGCTGTTTCCTCCCTCCTAAAAGTCCATCTCTCACTGCTTGTTAAGTGCTGACTTCACAACCCTGCTTTTGAAGCATTCCTTCCTGAACTTCCCATCAGATGAATCCTTAACACCTCTTTGCAACCATAGAATGCAGGTCAGGTCTGTTGTCACAGGCATATCACCATTTTGCAATTATGCTGGCATGGCCAATGAGCTCTTTGAGAGCAGGGGCTTTACCACTTTATCATTCATTGTGATGCCCCACCACTGCCCAGCACTTGGCCTAGGCTTCAGTAAGCACTGAATGAATGTTTGTCAAAACGACTTGAAATCCAGGTGCCTTTTTTTTTTTTTTTTTTTGGTTGGAGACTCTGCACAATTCTATGCCCATTTCAGTGGGCTCTTTGGGCTTTAGTCACCATTTCCCCTTACATCATGCTCATTCAGGGATCCTACCACATACCACCTGAGTATGAACAGCCAACTGCCACCTTCCCCAAGAAGGCCCTATTTTCATCTCAAATATTAAAAACACTGTAGAACCTCAATGCATGGCTTAGCATAGAAATGTTGTTTTTGGTATCTGTTCATAAATTTGGGGAAGGGGATGATGTCACATTTTCTTCAAGAAAATTCAGTACACATTCCCAACACCACAGAATTCCTACTTTTGATGATGGTGGCGGTGGCATAAAGTACCAATAGCCTCGTCTTTTGAAAGGATCTGCCATGCTGCTGATGTAATCATTCTGATAAGAAACTTCACGTCGAAGTTCAGCAATTTCTTCTAAAACATTTTCAAAGCCTCCTTTGTTGTCTATAAGGAAAAGTCATTCTATGAAATTGATATAAAATCATTTACTTCTTTTCTTTCTCAAAATAAAAAAGCGATTCCATGAGAGCCAATGAATTTTATCAGTTCCTCAAAGCTGACTTTCAGTCTGCTCTTTGGTAAGTCAGAAAAAGCAAATAAACTGATTTGTAAACATTCTTGCTTTTGAAATTACAATATGAAACTCATTTTTACAACCAAGTCCCCCAATAACACACTTACACAAAATACTTTTAAAATTATTTGATTTTACTTATTAAGCTAATTACCACAGCTCTCTAAATCAGGCACGGAATTGATTTGTAACAGTTAAAAGTAAAAAACAAATGAGATGATTTGATTTTACAACTACAAAACCACTGCCAAAAATCAAAGTCCAATACTTTACCAATTCCGGTGAGGTCTAATATATTCTTCAGTCTTGCAATCTCTGTCCTTTGTCGTTCCATTGTCTCATTCAGTTTCTCAATTTCTAGCACCTGTGAGTTTGCTCCTCCAGTACCGACACCTGTTTTCTCCATCTCAAGTTGAAACTATTTTAAAAATCACATATACAAAGTTGTCAATGAATTCATTTTTTCCCAAATACATTTATCCTTTCAACTTGATGATGATTCTATAATATTTATTTATACTTTCCCAGTGAGGAAACTGCATTACTTGAAACTGCACTAAGCCTAGCACACAGTAAAGGATAAAGTACAGATTAACTATTGATTGCACTTCAGAATTCTTTGAGACATCACCTACAGTAATTTTGTCTTTTAGGAACTTGTAAGAATCCAATAAAGAGAAGGTCTCTGGGTACCAACACTGACCTGCTCCTCCTTCTGCCTGAGAAGATTCTGCAGGAGTTCGATCTCAGCTTCTGCTCGGGTCAGATCCCTGGCTGCATGTGCTGCCTTTCTGCTGAACTTCTCTGCTTCCTGTAACTCCTACTGGGACAGAGGTATGAGAAAGACATTGCTGCTATTTCTTCATTTCTTCCTCTTGGATTGATTCCTCTGCTTTCACCACATTGCCCACCCAGCTGTCCATGCAAATATGGCCCCAAGCCCCACCTTCTCTTGTGTTGTTCCCATTGTAGGGCAGCCTACCCAGCCCCCAATCCCAAGGTGCTGCATCAGAAAGAACAAAGGCTAATTTTTTTACTTTTTCACTTTTACTACAGTTTTCCATAACTATGTCTCTCTGGTCTCTCCTCATTAGATTTTTGTCTCCTATAATCTGCTATCTTAATCTCACTAGCATTTGCATCCTATAAAGCACAGTAACAGACTTTAGCTCAGTAAGGAATCATACTATGAAGTAACATATTTTCACATGACTGCACAACATGAAAAATTTCAGATAGGGATTATATGACAATCCTTCAAGAACCCTTGTCCAGGTAGGTATTGATAGCTACCTCCCCAAGCAGATTACTACCCTTAAAGGTAGGGATAATATGTTTATATGATGATTCCTTTCAGGGCTCAGTAGAATGCAGGATCCATGGCAGCACAAAATAAATTATTAGGGGTTGTGATGAGGGAACATAATCTTTATGTAAGGTCTGACCATGCCATGAGTGGCATGGTAATCTCTGTGACCTGCACATACACCTCAGATGAGTTCCTGGAAGAAACCATCAACCCCTGCGGCGCCTAACCGACTTGAGACATTCTTGTATTGTTTCTTATTCCGGCTTCAATTGACAAGGCCATTGGACTTTAAACAGACAACTTTACAGTGGTTTATAAAATAACCAATGTCTATAAGAAGATCAATAATACAAGTTGCTATGTTTTCTGACAGCAGCAGCATTGATGGAAACCTGTTCTGTACATGTGAACTCACCTCTGCTCGCTCCTGGTTAATTTTCATAACAGTTCCATGAAGGGACTTCAGCTGGTCCTTGGCAATGGTGAGCTCAGCTGTGGCTAGCTTATCAGAGGTGGCCACAGCTTTCTTTAGTTTTTTCAGTTCTTTATCTAAACCAAAAAATTGCTCCTGAGATTTGGCATCTTCAAGTTTCTTCTAAAATAAAAGAAACATTAAGCAGATGAATCATTTGCTAGGAATGAATTCAGATGTAAGATCCAGGAGGGCAGGAACTCTGTTCACTGCTGCCTAGAACAATACTTGATGCACAGGAGGTACTCCAGAAATATCCACTGAATAAATCTTAGTCAAGAATCTCAGTGGTCATAACTTCATCCATTCATTGGAAAAACATTTCCTGGCACTACCACCAAGACATGGATGGATCTGCCTTTGAAATCACTGAATTAGGCCCTGGGCATAGGTGGTATGAAAGAATTTGGCATTTTTGAGAAACTGAAAGGAGAAGCACAGTGAAAAAGGAGAGATCTAAACAGAGGCAAATCATGTAGGCCTCATAGGCTTAAGAATTTTGGCCTTTAACCTAAGAACAATGGAAGCTACAGGAAGGGAGACTGATTACAACCACTTGACATTTCAGAAAGCATCTTGGCTGCTGTGTAGAGCAGGGTCACGAGTAGGTGACAGATCAATCAGACAGCCACACCAATCATCCAGAAGTGAGATGATGACAGCACAAGGGTCTAGCATCAGATAAGGAAAGAGGACATATAATCCAGAAATATTTTAGAGATGGATTCAATAGGACTTGGGAACTGATGGGCTCTCAATGAAGGATGAAGCAAGTCATTCACTGCGGCTGGAAGAAAGCAGATGGAAGAGTGTGAAGAATGAGAAGTTGTGAAACTGTAAGACATGGGAGAGAAAGCTCACCATAGGAAAGGGTCATGTTGTCCGTTTGAGATTGGTAATCGTTAAGCTTATAATGACACCACTATGCTGGATGGGCAATTTTTTTCTCCAGGAATACCCAGCGTAAGTGCAGGCCCAACGAAAAGCAGAGTTTTGTCAGGGAA